TACTCTTTCTTTTTCTTAAGCAACTACTTTACATCCCCCTCGTTTATCATTCATCTCGTCATTTTTTTCTCCTCTGCACTCCCCACTTTCCTCCTATACATCCCCTATTGTTAATTCTTTCCTTCATCAACTCAACTTCTGCTTTAGCTTTCTTTTCTCTCTCCACCCCCTCCCATCCGCTACCCCCATCTACGTCATCCGCTCTATCATATAGTCCCCTCCCCCACTGGAATGCTGACGCGGACAGCTTAGGCTGCTGATAACCTTAACGTTGACATGTGTGTCGTAATCTTAGTTGTGTAATTTTTCCACGAGTTTTACATGCTCGATAAACTCCACACGACGATAACATAAACGCCCCCCTCCTCCGTCTGCTTAATTTCTAAAGTGGAATTTGGATTTTAGATTGTCAGTTACAAGCGATATACATATGCGTATCTTTATTTTTTCATCTCATAAACTTGTCATATTAACTGTATCATAAACCATGGGAACGAATTCTGTTTCTGAGGGAACAGCAACATGACATATCAAACGATGGCTGAAATGATGATTTCTATTTGAATGAAAAGTAACTAGATATGAGTATAAAGTGGGTACAATGACGGGAGGGAATGGTGGGGTGGGGTGGGGCTCAGTGGCAAGGTGGACTCGTCTCTAGTTCTGTATACAAAGGCAGGATGAAGGAGGGATCTCGCATCAAAACCTGAATCCAATGGACCGGAGGTGCTCTTAACACAATGGCGGGCAGACTCATATCTAGCCCTGCACACAATGGACAGGGGATCATATCTAACTAGGCTTACAATGGCAGGGGGGTCAAAAAAATTACCGTAAAGAAAAACATCAACTATCGCTATTACAATTTTACCCTATACTCGAACAGCGCTAAAATAAGACTACCGCTAAAATATGACCGTTTACAGTATGTTCACCTTTCTCATCCGCTTGAACTATAGCGTGTTCTAAGTTCTTATTCAAGATATGTATAACGTATGCAGGACATGTTTAACACAATGATATACTTGAACATCTGTAAAACTGTGCATCTTACTTATCAATCCCTAAACACCCATCGCATTGTAGCATTAACGAGAATCGCCTCGTGACCCGACAAGGTAAACCGTAGCACAATGCTAAGACACTTACACTAAACAGCTCCATTCTTATAACCCTATCTTACCCCATACTTAAACGAACTTAACAAAAGAGTGGTG